CTCAAAGTGGGTTCCTCGTCATCGAAGATACTGATTCATCATGGTTTCAAAATGTAATAAGTATGAATATTTGGTTCAAAGTGTAATCATAAACAGCTCTGCCAATAATATTGCCTTTTACTGGCCAATATATATTGAATATGAAGAATCAGCTTTTTCATGGACCTTATCCACTTATTGATTTATGAGTTACATTACCACCTTAATGTAAATTACTTTTTTTTTAAGTTCATATGTAAATTATCTGCTGAAAACATCCAATATTGTGTATGAATTTAAACATCCTAAATGTAATTTTAGATATGTTAGATCAATCATTAGGTGACTATAAACATACACTAAAGAATGTGCCAATTTGATGATCAATAACAAAACAAGTATAGTGATCACAAGCATAGTTAATGTGACCCAGCAATAGATCACAGTTACTTTAAAATTATTTTGAGGGGAAGTGATGAGATTTCTGATTAATAGATTTGGACCACAACTAAATGAAGCAAGTTATTCCATTAAACTGTTGTTGCAAACAAAAAATACAGTAGACAGTTGTATATATTTACTACTGTTTTAAATAACATACCAAAACTTATTCTTGAAATGGTTATGTTTTTAAACATGGATATCCCTAATGCTTTAATTAATATTTAAAAAATTATTCTAGGATAAAAATACCGTAACCTTTTTTACAAAATTAAGAATGTAGTATGAATTATGTTGTATACCACTGACAATGATCCAAAATGTACTAAAAACATTAAACTAATAGAATTCTAGAATGTTGACCTGTCGGAGATTCTTAAGTTTTTCAAATAACCTCATGTTTAAGATGTTTATTTTATTATGTTTATGTAATGTCAAAATCTGAATGTTTAGTATCTGTAGCAATGCTAGATCCCCCAAAAAAGAAGTGCAGAAACGCACCATATCATTTCAACAACGTTAGTATAGCATACTTCTACTAGTGTATTTTTTAAGTAATTAAATTAGAACAAATCAAAATGTTTAAAAATTATTATGTCTGTTCGAAAGACATTTTCCAATATTTTATCCACTGTTATTATCGCAAAATAAATCAGCTGGTCATGCTTTACTGTAGGTGTGTGTGATGAAGTTGTAGATAATAATATCCAAGTATACTTCGGGTGTAACAGAGCAAAAAAAAAAAACATAAGTGCGGATTTGCCGTTTGTTTCACCAACAATGCGTATTAGTTCATTACAAAAAAATAGGAATGTCTTTTTATTTACTTGTCCCTTTCACACCGGCTGTTTATCCAGCCTGAAGGGAAGTGTGAATTAAATTACATCTGTGGAAAATGTTGAACACATACACAATATATCGACAAAAGTACGTGGTGCTTCAATCCGTTGTGTGCGTTCGTATATTTCGTTTTTAAGCGATCACGCAATTCCATAATATTTTAGGGTTTTTGTTGTTTTATATTATGCTGTATAGTTTTATCATTTTAATATATTTCCTTTAGAACACAAACATAATGAAAGGACTGTCTTTTGGTCCAGTAAAATCGGGAGGGGAGCAAGATAGTTTTTTAATCGAGACAACTATTGTTGCTCTATGAATTAGAAAACGGGAAAATAATTACACGTTTTCAGGGCTTTTTAAATAAAGGTTACCTAAATTCATTCTAAACCCCTTAGACATTATACACACACAATCGCTGGCAGAACTTTGCTTTCATTTTTGCTGCATTTACCAAAGAATATTACAGTTGGGACAAGACTTTTGTGCATCTCTTGCCTCTGAGGCATATATAGTGTGCGTTCTATTTGCAGGGATTTGACAAGGAAGATAAATACAGTATAGTTGAATCTACAGAACCATTAATCATTTTTGGAATTGAACCATAAAGTTTCAAAATATTTTATGTGTGATCAAATTGTAACTTAGTTTGCTGTAAAAACATTTTTTATTGTCAAAAAAGTGCCAGAACACTGTTCCGAATACTAAGATAAGTTCCGCTATAACTTGAGCGCTTATCAGCAGACAGCTTTACATAAGTTCATAGATAGTTTTATTTTTTTCAAAAGACAATTCTAAAGAAATGTATGTGAACTTTATAAAACTCATTTTATTACCCCAGTGCCTTCTAATTTAATTTTATTTTGTAAATAATATCTTATGAAAAATTTTAAAAAAACGTGAAAAACAATTCTCGTCTGAAAGACTGCTTTTTCATCATTTTAGCAATAAAGATTTCAGGCATTATATAAAGTTTTCGAAAGTTATTAGGTAAACTACAAAATTATATGTTTAGCTAGTATATTATTAGGGTTTGCACTAATACATATAATTGTGTGTAACTTTAAACAGATGTTTTGTTGTTGTTGTTACACTTTAGATATGTCTGGATCTTTTTTTCTTTCAAAAAAGGTTCATTGTAATGGATTATCATAAGCATTACAATTAGGTTAATGATTTTGTTCAATACAAAATTCTGAACAGATTCATTACAAAGCTCCTGTTACAAGTATTATCTCAGTAAGCCTTTGCCACTGCCAGCAACTGCTGACAAAACTTTTCGTTTAATACTAGAGCTTGCCAGCAGGTCTGAGCAAAACGTTATGATATCAACCGTTATTTACAAGCGGTTTAGGTATTTAAATCCAACGTGAAATACTTGAGCTGATAAGACACCCACCATAGCGTGATTTTGTCAGAATAACGTTATAAACACAAAAAGAACATTCTAGCACTAAAGTATTTTAGTTACTTGTGAACTTATTTTCCTCAACAAATCAATAATAACGTATAATTAATTGTGATTATATATCACACGTTATCCAAACACCTAAAGTGTCTTAAGCTATTAGTGGTGTGTAAAAGACTATACATCTAAACCAAACAAATTGCTAAAGTATTTTCAGCTAACTTTAGCATCTAAGGTTGAAACGAAGCAAGGTTTACCAGTATTTGTGTGTTTTCACACGATATGCTTATTACAAAATCGCATGGAGTGCTGATTTACATAACTTTTTGTTATAAATACAAGAAAGCATATAATAAATTATACTTGTAATAAGACCTTAATGTTCCGCCCACTATTGTGTCCCAGCCGGCTTGATGAGTTTTGTATGAAGTGAAACGTGTCATCAGTAACGAATATGGTGAACATTGTATGATTGAAATACTGTTATACACTCTTCTTCTTAAAAAAACCCTAAGAGACTGAATGTAGCTTAAAAAATATATTAGTCCGAATACTAATGTCGTATTACAATTATAATTTATCATAATCATGCTTCGCCAGCTTAAGAAAGGCGTTCACGCTATTAAAATCATTTATTTATTTGTTAATTTCTTTTCTTCACCAAAACGTGAATTTCAGAGAAAAGATGATGTAGATTGTAGAAACCTATTCTATTCTTCGATTCGCTACTTCCGCTGCTGTTGTAACAAATAGCTTATATAGTGTTCCGACCACTGCTATATATTTATGAATTTTTCTTTTCTTTGTGTAATTTCACTAAAAGAAACAAAGAATCAGCAAATGTTGTAGAGGCCCAATATATTCTTTGATTCACTACTCCCTCTATAGTAGATTAGTTTCACCGACTTCACGACTTATTAGTACTATTTCGGTGAACAAAGGATTATATTGTAGTGGAATGTAAGCAGCTTGTAGACTATTTTGTTTGTTGTGTCTCAGCCAGCCTGATGAGCTCTGTATTGAGCAAAACGCGCCGTCAGCAAAGGATATAGCAAACATAGTGTGGCTGAAAACCCTAAGAGACTAAATAAATAATGCAGTGTTGAAGATATAATAGGTCTAACACTAATGTCTTATAACAGCTTAGAAAAGGCGTTCACACCATAGAAAACATACAGCAAACATCTACAGCTTAAAAATCTCGAATTTAAAAATTTAGCAGAACATAACATTATAGCTATAGAATAGGGCACACAGTTTTTTCATGTTAAGAAAATTGAAGAATAAAAATGAATATTAATTGCTATTTAACTTTTAATTGTATATGTAAAATGAATTAAATAAACCAAAATTTGTCGTCAACGGGTAATCCAACGAGTGGCCCGCGAGGGAAACAAAAGATATAACGGTCTATGTGGTCTTTTACTGGTTTTCACCTAATCGACCAGTTCGTGAAACAATTAACAGTGAAGATATTAAATCTTATATCCTGAAAGTGGTCCTATATTTTGTGAAGATGACCTATAAAATCTTATATTATTTCCTGCCAATTTGAATCACTCCTTCATATATTTTTATGTTATAAATAAACAGGACTCTGTAGAAAAGAATTGTTCATCACGGTACGGTAAAAGAACCTACAAATGCTTAAAAGTTTACAAATATTCTTTAGAAAAAGATTAAACTTATTTTGAACACAATAATATTATGATTTGATTAGCAGCTCAGGTTGGAAAATTGGTTACTTTCCAAAGAAATTAGGAAGAAAACATGTAAGAAAAAACCTATATTTTTCTGGCTAATGAGCATATACAACTCTATAATCCATTTTTTGGTCTCTTTTTTTTTTCTTCTTAAAATTGACTGGGAGGCCTATTATAATTATGATTGTTATTGTGATGAATGACTGATCTTTTAATTAATTCATGTCAGTGAAATGTAACACATAACACACATCTAATTAAGGTTTAATACGATTTTCTAAACAACTGAGGATTTAGCGTAGTTGTTTGTGGTTTGTTTTGAATTTCGCACAAAGCTACACAAGGGCTATCTGCGCTAGCCGTCCTTAATTTAGCAGTGAAAGACTAGAAGGAAAGAGCTAGTCATAACCGCTAACTCTTGGGCTACTCTTTTACCAATAAATAGTGGGATTCACCGTAACATTATAACGCCCCATGGCTGAAAGGGCGAACATGTTTGGTGAGACGGGGATTCGAACCAGCGACCCTCAGATTGCGTGTCAAGCGCCCTAAGCATTCCGGGCCTTAGCCTAATTGTATAATTCATCTTCGTGATTTTTTATTGAAGATGATAACGGTTAAAAAGAATAAGTGAAAATCGTGATATCGAACATTATAAGAAACAATTGCACCATAAAATATAGTTTCGAGGAAATATTTTTTTCGTTGTAGAAGTGCATCCAAATTATACAAAGTACTGAGTTCACCAGGTTGCTGCTAATGATATACTAAGTAAGTTATGAAACTTTTAATTGTATCACTTTGTAATTATACATCTTTCATGGTGATAAAATGACTTTACATATTTCAGTAGTACTTCATTCCAGAAAGTCACTACTGTAGTTAAAGCAAATACAATATTCTGAAACAATAAGCAAAAGCAAAAAAAATAAATAAATAGGTTTTAAAACAAACATTTATCTGTGTGTAACCATCATATAGATATCATTTAGAATCTACCAATCCCATCAATGTTAAACAAATATAATATTATACATTAATGTAAGCTAAAAGTTTTTTAACACATTATTAACAGGTTTTGGTTATATATTATTTGGAAACAAAAGAGCGCATGCGCCTCCTCCAGCGTTAAGCGTGGAAAGTACTGGGCCTGCTGCACAGGCTTGAGGGAGCTGTCTTTCATGGAGAAATCTGAAGAGGCAAATATATCGAAATATGCTTTCTAAGTTGTGAATGTTCAGGTGAAGATAATGGGAGAACAAAACATAGTCTCCGACTGGCTCCGGTCGCTCAAGTTGGAGACATATGCTGAAAGTTTCTTAGATAATGGCTACGATGATTTGGAGATCTGTAAGCAGATTGGCGAGTTAGATCTTGACGGAATAGGTGTGACCGTGTCTAGCCATAGGCAGACGATCCTGCAGGCGGTGAAAAGGTTGCTAGAACACGGCGGTACAGCCGTTTACTATACCGTCGAGGAGCAGCTTCGCATGGCTGGAGCAGTCTGCTGTGACACCTATGACGATTACGACAGCTCGATAGGGCCGAGCAAACAGAAGGATCAGTCAAATCCACATCTCATTGTTAATTCCCCTAAAGGTGACGGTGATGGTAAAACGAACGGCGACACAGTGGCCAACATGTCTTGCTGGACGGAATCAGCCATACCTCGCCAATTTGTTGATGAATACGAAGAAGGAAAAGCCGAGTTGGTGAAGTTTCCTAGGATTCAGTTAAAGATGATAGTTAGAGACAAGTTGATACGTGATGGAATACGGTTAAGCGCAGAACCCTACTCAAATATGGTGAGTAGAAAAATAGTTTTGTGGAGTCTGTATTTTTTTGTAATATAAAATATTTATGTATACAAAATACGTATTCACTTTTGTGAAAAGGCAACGTCATTTTTGTGTTCATGCATAGTTTTATACACCACAGATACTTTACATGTGTAGTACATTATTTTTCCGTAATACCTGTTACAGTTATAAATTAATGATTCAATAACAACAAGCATCAGAAAACAAAAAGATAGAGGGAAAATGCTGTATTAAGCTAACATTTAATTAAGTGATTTCAACTTCAGAAGGTACAAAACGATGAATTCAATTGTCTTCTTTGTTCTTAGGTGTTGATGTCTAAAGCTTTCCTTTATTGTCGTGCATTTACGCCTTCCACTTTATGTATGTTAAAACCTGTAATTTATTTTCAGAAGTTAACTAAACCTGTTGCAAAAAACTGTAAGATGTACACAGATTTGCTCACGATAACCAAGTGCTAGTTAATACTGCACGTAATTGTTACATGATATACAAGTGTAGATTAAGCCTACAAAACACTACTTCGCATGGTTGTAATGAAATAAATCGATCTTGAAACGTGCTTACTTTTAGAGCCTAAGTAATTGAGATGTTAAAGTTACTCAAGCGATTTTAATATAGTTCTAGTTTAATATAAATGTGTAAAACATTCATACCTTAACATAGTACTAATTTGATTAACATGTGTAAAACATTCATACCTTAACATAGTACTAATTTGATTAACATGTGTAAAACATTCATACCTTAACATAGTACTAATTTGATTAACATGTGTAAAACATTCATACCTTAACATAGTACTAATTTGATTAACATGTGTAAAACATTCATACCTTAACATAGTACTAATTTAATTAACATGTGTAAAACATTCATACTTTAATATGATTCTAAGCTTTAATTACACCTAATTGTTAGTCCACCTTATATTCAACAATCAAGGTTCTTTACATTTTCAGTTGTAAAAATGTAAAGAAAACAATAGAATATTACACTGAAATTACACTTGTAGAGCATGCAACTCTATGATGGTTGCAAGTATAGACTGTACCGGTAAAATATACTACCTTTAAAAATATTCATACTGAATAAACTCAGCATGGCATACACTACAGTGGAAGATCTTTTAATCATAACGTGCTGTGGATGATGTCTCGCATTTCAAAGCTTTAGCTTTGTGTTAGTGGCTCATGGCTATCACATAATGATGAACTTTAATATTTCAACTTAGCTCTTCATTTTAAACAGTTATCGCTGAACAGAGTACAGAAATGTGTGTTATGGGCACTATGCGTGGATGAAAATGATTGAATTTTGACAAAAAGTAAAATAGAATTTGAGTATTTAGAATGTAACCAAAGTTATACAAGAATAATCTGAACTGATAACCACATCATAGGATACTATTGTCTGACTGGACAGCGGGATTTGAATGTCACTCTTATAGCACACTCACAGCTCCAAAGTGTGGAGCGCGTTTCTGTTGCAAAGGGGAGTGAACCATGAATTCTCTCATTCACAGCCTGGGCACGCCCGACCTTAGACAAAATTTATTGATGGCGTAGCTTACTGTCTTCCTATTCTGAAGTGGGATATTTTCATTACTGCATATAGACATGCAAATACAGGTTTACTGATTTTAAATTTGACATCATTGCTCTTTATACAATTATGTTTGCGTTATTGCAAAAATGTGAAACAAATAAAGCTATGTGACTTCTTTATACGAGTTGTTAATATCACATGTAAAGTTTGATACATTTTTAGAGGCAATACTATAAAGTATCAGTAAACACGATAGAGTATAAATTATTATTAACAAGTAACAAATGCGAACAATATCAAGGTAATTTATGATTAACAAGTTTTAACCTTATAAAAGTCAGTGTGTGTCACGTCACGCAATATTTCTCCAAATAGGATTGTTTGTTTGTATTTTAATTTCGCGCAAAGCTACACGAGGGCTATCTGCGCTAGCCGTCCCTAATTTAGCAGTGTAAGACTAGAGGGAAGGCAGCTAGTCATCACCACCCACCGCCAACTCTTTGACTACTCTTTTACCAACGAATAGTGGGATTGACCGTCACATTATAACGCCCCCACGGCTGAAAGGGTGAGCATGTTTGGTGGGACGGGGGATTCGAACTCGCAGATTGCAAGTCGAGCCCCCTAACCACCTGGTTATGCCGGGCCTCCAAATAGGAAGAGTCATAAAAGCCAAAATACATTTATCCAGATAGAATTGTTCGATTACTGTCTGCCCATTACGATTTTAGTGACGGGGGTGCAAGGGGACCGTGAGGTGTGTGTGTGCCGTGAAATCTTACAAGTGTAGTGAGTGTTGGTATATTAAGCCTAAAGTAAAGGCGTCGTGTGGGATTGCCTAGCCTAGAGCTAAGTACATAATATTTATCATGAAAGTTAAAATGTCGATTCAATTTTTAACTTAAATCGTTTCTGAATTAAGCTATTTTCTGTTACATCACCAAAGTTTTTAATAAAAAACAAAATTATTTAATCAACGGAGACTAAATTAAGAAATCAACAAATATTTTTCCAGTTTATTAGGTTAAACTTGTTGGAACATAGTGTTACCAAAACGTATTGGCTTTTCTATATATTAGAAGTTGTTAATCTAACTGATTTTTACCAATAATTATTCTATGAATATGCCACGAATTTATTTCATGAATGATCTTATTTTTAATTGGCTCACAAAAGAATTTACCGACATTTGACTGCCTCGACTGTACTTTTCTGCCTATTTGTTGGTCAAGCTTGATTTCGCAAAATTTATTTATTTCAGTTAGCTAAGAAATGTGAGATTAGGGTATACTATGGGGCGCGGGTGCTAGTACTTGTCCTGTCATTTTTGACGGGCTTTACGCTAGTTATTAATAATTAATAGCCTTATCTAAATAAATTATCTTTATGCAAGTCTTACTAAAGCAAATTATGATAAATAGTAGAATTATCAAGGTGGCATTTTATTAACAGATTGTTAAGCTTATCTAAGTACCGTTAACTTACCACTTCTAAATGTGAGACTTATCTAGGTATATTGTCTTGAATAGACATTAGCCTTATCTGAGTAAATTATCCAAAACTGGTATTAGCACTACTATCCCTTTTAGGTATTTATAATCAATAAATATCAATCTTATTTATAATATTGTTATCTTTATCAGGTATTTATCATAATGGTTGTTTTTCTAACCTACTTTATTTATCGTTAAACATACTAACATTATTTATGAACCTTAATACTATCGAGTCTTAGCCTTACCAAGATATAGCACTGCTATTAAATGTTAATCTAATTCAGGTCAATACTATCAGTACATCTTTTGTCATTTATTGAGACACAGTTGAATAGTTTAAGTCTTTAAATAGTTTTCTGTTCTTATTTTTATAACTTTTAAACAATGGGAAACATGATTGAAGACATTGGTAAGGAATACCTTTCTTTCACTTGTTTTCGAGCGGAATCGAACCCCCTGATTTTAGCATTGTAAATCCTTAGACTTACCGCTGTCCCACCAGGGGACAAACAGTAAAGAAACGGAACCTAATTCGGGATAATCGAAAGGAATAATTTTCCGTTAACTATATTAAAATATTTTCTCTTTTCATTTTAATAAACTTTTTAAACAGTGGGAAAACATAAGCTAATTCAGTATGATTAAAAGGAATAACTTTAAACCTATTTTAAAATATTTTTTATTTTTATAAGCTTCTGAGAAGTTGGAATGTTTCAAGTATTTATTTTTTTTTTATAAACTTTTAAGCATTTTGGAAATATAATTCAACACAACACAAAATAACTTATTTTGCGAAAGTCGTATTAAATATCAGTGAACTTAATCTTAAGTATACTAGGCCAAGCGTGAGCCAGTGATTTTCGTGCCGGACTGTGAATCTACGGATCCATTCTTTGCGCCCCCCAGTAGCACAGCGTTATGTCTGTGGATTTACAATACTAGAAACCGGGTTTCGATACCCGTGGTGGGCAGAGCACAGATAGCCCTTTGTGTAGCTGTGTGCTTAATTACAAACAAAAAACCATTCTTTGCATTCTGTTACAGCAAAAAAAAAAAGAAAAAAAAAAAACAACCTCCTTCTGCACTTTGAAGATGTGGACGCATTATATACCTGATGGTTAAATCTCATTATTTGGTCAGACAAGAGTTGGTAGTAGGTGCTGTTGACTAGTTACCTACCTTCTCTCTTGTTTATTGATTCAAAAATAGGGACGACTAGCACAGGCAGCCCTTGAGTAGCTTTGCGCGAGTATCCAAAAACTAACAAACCGAACTAATCTAATAGATTACTCAGTCCCCCCAATGGAACAGCGGTATGTCTGCGGACTTACAACGCTAGAACCCAGGTTTCGATACCCGTGGTGGGCAGAGCACAGATAGCCCATTGTGTAGTTTTGTGCTTAATAACAAACAAACAAACAAAAACAGATTACTCAACAAATGCTTGATATAAAAAAGAAAATTATATCTAACTAACATTGGTCTAGTAAGACGAAGGGAGGTTACGAAAAAACTTTCCAGACGGTGTTTTTCATATCAGAACTGAGTATTTGATAAACTATATTCCTACCTATACAATATGTTAAAACATGATATTTTAGTTTAGTGTTAAGACTATCAGTGTTTTTCATAACCGATTCGGAGACATTCTGCGTATATGTATGATACCACGAGTGTTTTAAAGGCCCATGAGAAGATAGAAACTCACACAGATTATTGCATAGAAAGACATTCCCAAGCATGTTTACTATCGGCTGTGATAAGATACTCATTTATAAGTTTATCAGATTGCTGCAATGTTAACCCTTGTGGTGTCCTGGGTCTCAGGGACATCTCTGGTTTCTGATCGAAGGGATCATGTCAAGTAATATGTTGGAGTACAAGAAGCTAACAGCAATAATGATTGCAGAAACATATTGTATGCCTCCCTGTGGCACAGCG